CATGAAAAAATCATGTTGGATGTTAAGCTAAATGATAAATTGGTATCGATGGAACTGGATACCGGTAGTACCTATTCGGTAATGTCGGAGCACAAATTTCATGATCTAGGTATTGGAGGCCAGATTAAACCATCTAACCTACTGTTGGTAACCTATGACAAATCAAAAATAAAAGTTAGTGGTTATGTTATGGTTAAGGTTAAATATGATGAACAAGAGAAATTATCTAAACTATATCTTGTGAAAGGAAATTATGACACAGTCTTTGGCAGGGAGTGGCTTTATACCTTTAAATTGAATTGGGCCAGTATTAAACACATTAGTGATGACAACTTTGTAAATAGAATCAAAAATCTTGTTAATGATTACCAGGATTTGTTTCTCAAGGAAGTAGGCTGTATTAAGGATGTTGTAGCTTCCCTTCATTTAAAAGAAAATACAAAATCTGTATTTTGTAGGGCTCGACCTGTACCATTTGCGCTAAAAAAGCGGGTTGAAGATGAACTTCACAGACTAGAGAATTTAAATTTAATATCTAAAACTACCCATTCAGAGTGGGCGACCCCGGTGATTCCAGTCATTAAACCGGATGGTAATATTAGGCTTGTAGCGGACTACAGGGTGACTGTAAATAAACACATTATTCCTGATGAACACCCGATTCCGACAATTGAAGAAATTCTGAGCAAAGTTAGTGGTGCTAGATACTTCTCTAAATTTGATATTAGGGAAGCGTATATGCATCTACCGGTAGACGAGGAAGCGTCAAAACTCATGACTATCAATACGACATTAGGCTTATTCAATGTAAATAGGTTGATGTATGGTGTAAGCAGTGCACCGGCGATATGGCAACGTACCATGGAGTCTATTTTCAATGGAATTTCAGGAATTCAGATTTTTTATGATGACATCAAGCTTTGTTCCCCTGATAAGCAAACTCATATTCAGAACTTAGAGAAGTTTTTCACTATTTGTAAAGAAAATAATATTCGTCTCAAACGTGAGAAATGTGAATTTTTGACTGATGAAATAACGTACCTAGGGTATAAGTTAGATCGTGAAGGGATCAAGAAGAACGTACCTAGGGTATAAGTTAGATCGTGAAGGGATCAAGAAGACTGAAGATAAAATTCAGGCTATTGTGGACGCAAAACCTCCTACAAACCTCACAGAACTACGCTCTTTCATAGGGTTTGTTTCGTATTATTCCCGTTTTATTCCAAAAGCTGCTGACTTGATGAGACCTCTTTATGACTTAATGAAGAAAAATAAGACATTTCAATGGACTCAAAATGCAGATACTGCGTTCAACGCGATCAAAAAGGAAATAGTCTCTGATAGAGTTCTCGATTATTATGATCCTGCTAAACCTTTGATTGTAGCAACTGATGCTAGTCCCTATGGAATAGGAGGAGTTCTGTCCCATCAATATCCGGATGGGTCGGAAAGACCAGTGATATTTGTTAGTCGGAGTCTTACACCTAGCGAAATGAGATATTCACAGATAGATCGTGAAGCCCTTGCAATTGTATGGGTCGTTAAGAAATTGTTTAACTACATTTATGGCAGACATTTTATACTCTACAGTGACCATAAACCTTTGGCTTCAATCTTTAACGCTGAAAAGGGAGCACCCTCACTTAGCACTACACGACTTCTTCATTATTCGATCTTCCTCCAAGGTTTCGACTATGAAATTAGGTACAAAAAGCACGACCAACACTTCAATGCTGATTTTTGCTCCAGATTTTTGATTAAATCTAACAAAAAGACTACTGACGCGGCAGAAATTTTCCAACTTGAACAATTAAATATTCTACCAGTTACGGCAGAGCAAATTGCAAATGAAACTGATGAAGACACTTATTTATCTCAGCTTAAAAGGTCTATTCAAGAAGGAAGTAGGCAGGTTCAACAAGACAGATTGGGGGAGTGGACGATTCAAGATGGCTGTATCATGAAAGGGATCCGAGTAGTAATCCCCAGGAAACTTCAGACAAAAATACTTCAAGAACTCCATGAAGGTCATTTTGGAATGGTTAAGATGAAAACCCTAGCAAGGTCACATGTTTACTGGGAAGGGATTGACCGAGATATAGAGGAATATGTCAGGCATTGTGAAGCATGTCAAAAACAAAGTCCTATGCCAAAGAAAGAGAAAATGCATGCATGGGAGTATCCAAGTGGACCGTGGCAACGAGTTCACATAGATTACGCAGGTCCGTTTCACGGCCAAAATTATTTTATCGCAGTTGATGCATACTCTAAATGGCCAGAAATATTTTCAACTTCAAAATGTACCTCAGATAGCACCATAAATATATTGGAAGAGTTATTTTCCCGTTGGGGTTTTTGTTCCTGTATTGTATCGGACAATGGGACAGCTTTCACCTCGCATGAATTCCAAAATTTTCTAAAGAAATACCAAATCAAACATATCACAACAGCACCATTTCACCCAAGTTCCAATGGCCAGGCAGAACGTTATGTTGGCATCCTGAAGCAAAATCTACGGAAGACTCTAGATAAACCAGGGAAAACTAACTCCAAACTTTTAAATTTTTTGTTGCACTATCGAAGAACGCCTCATGGTACAACAGGGGTTTCACCCGCCCAGCTCATGCTAAATCGAGAATTAATCACGTCAATTGATCTGGTAAAATCGAACACAGTTCTACAAAATGTGATCAAAAACCAAGCTAGAATGATGAGTTACGACACAGGTAAATCTACAGACCTTGCAATCGGAAGCAACGTAATCTACAAAAATTTTTCGAGAACAGGGGAGAAATGGCACCAAGGAACCATCCTTAAGAGGAATGGGAATGTCATGTATGATATCAGGTGTGAAGACAAAACTATACGAAGACATGCAGATCAGATAAGGAACTGTCCGATCTTGACTGAGGGCAAAACTGAACCAGGAAGTCATTTAGCATATGAAAATGTTGAAACAATTGATCTCACTAAAACCCCACAACCTATAACACCCACAACCAGACTTAGCCTAAATCCTAATTCCGTGACTCCTAAAAATCAATCTGATGTCCAAACAGAACCAATTGTGTCCAATACCCCGAAAAGACCTAAAAGACTGATCAAACCCCCAAAAAGGTACTCACCCTAGTGTTATTTAAGGAGGGAGGAGTGTTGTATATAGACTGGAAGAATTATATATATTTTTGTTATTTTATATTATTGAAGAAATCTATTATTTTTTTGAAGAAATTATATTTTATATTGTATAAGAGTTATCATGTAGCACCGATTATGTTCTAATTCTAATGGCATTGCACTGAGCAATAGAAAATCTTAAGTTCGTTAGTTCTTCTTCTATGTTCCGCCAATGATTGTAATGATGTAATGCAGCCAACGAGATGTCTAATGTTTTCGGCCTAGCCATATTTTATTATCAATTCTAATCGCCATAACTATTTCAATTTCTTTTTCAAGTTTTGTAAATTTCATCTCTTCTGTACTTCTAACATGTTTCTGTATCAAGCAAACACCTTTTAAGGTAAGAATATTGTTATTAATAATGTTAGGCTAAAGTCACATGTTCATAACCTCAATTGCTATTTTATATACATAAAACATTGTGTCTAAATTCATTTAATGTTTTGTTTAATACTTTTGTTTTGTATAATTAATCCAAATTTGCAATATTAAAATTTCAAATAAATATAACTTCAAATAAATGTTTTACAGCTTAAGATTTTATTAGGCTATAATAGGCTACAGCAATTGTAATTGTTACAGGTGTTTTCTTTCTTTCAAAATACAATTTTATTCTACCACTGATGATGCGTCTCTTTCCAACTCCCTGATGCGACAATACTATACAAAGTTATACAAGTAGTATAACTTTACTAATTCTACTACCTGTGCTGGGACCGTTCGCGTCGTGTGATAGGCCTATCTAAATGTTCGTTTTGTGCTATTTATTTATTAAGCTGTGTGCATGTGACAGTAATTTCTTTTATGTTATTTGTACCCTGATGATGCCGTATTAACGGTGAAACATGTAGGTTTTTAACGTCACATCAGCAACATTTGGATTATTTGATGAGGTAATTATACCATAATATTATAGTCATAGCATTGCAAATTCAATGAATCTTTGGACAGCTGTAATTTTTGAGTTGGTTGTTCATTTAAGGTCCGGTCTGCGGCATTTTTTTTATTTTTTAGCTCAACAAGACCTTTAATTTGATGTACATATGAACCTATGCTTACCTTTAAGAATTTTAACTTACTCCCTATGGGCCCATAGGTGGCATACAATCACCATGTTCACAAAAATGTAGCTTACTATTACCAGTAATGATATGCCAAATTTGGTTGTGATATCTCTTTTCGTTTTCAAGTTATAAAGTCGTCCTAAGACTTAATTGTCAATATTGTCTGTGCATATTAATCTAAGCATTAAGTTAAACATAAACTTATGAAAACACATCTAATTTCTTACTAAAATATCGAGTGATCAAGTAAGTATGTATATACATTTTAGATAGACACTGACACTTGTTTGAGAAAGAAACTAAAAAAAAATTTACATAATTTAATTACATTAAGATTAAAAGTATCAGTGGGCCTCGGCATAATTCAAACTACAGTATTACTTTTTGCAACAAAACTGTAAACCCTGATATTAAAATAAAAAGTGAGTACCCGTAAACTTAACTGTCAGTTACCAAACCAAACAGCCTACTCAAGATGGTGTGGCATTTGTAGGTGTGATAATATAGTAAAAATGTTTGATTTATTCATTATCAAAGTAATCAAATAACTTAGTAACACTTATTTTGTTTAATGGGATCTACACATATGACATAATACATATTGAAATTTATAAAGATCATATTTGTTAATAGGTACTTAAAAACACACATGATTTCACTAAAAAAGAGAACTGATCCAAGAACAATTATTTCCAGTTCACCAATCAATAACCAGTGCATTACTGTGTTTACAGCTACGTGTAGTTGTCTACGTACATGAGCTACAGCTGCAGCATGAAGTTGTGCTACTGCACGTAGACGATTGACCCACTCCTGTCTCGCACGAGCGTCCTGCGCACGCAGCTTGAACTGCTCCCCTGTAGACGAGTTGACAGTGAAAGTGTTGGAGTCTTCATCACTAGGAGAGATCACGGCAGATTCCAGATGAATCCATCCTCTTGGGGCTTGCCGGCTCTCTCCCTCACTCTGACAAATTAAAACAAATCATTTCTATAAAGATTTGATTAGGAAAACACAATCATTACAATGTGTTTTTATCAAGGCAAAGACGAGTGCTCTATAAATGATGAATTATATGAGAGCCTTGTTACCGATTAAGTCTAGCCTGTTCTCTAGCCAGAATCACGATCTTCGCAGACCTGTCGGGTATTGGTATCGGAATTGACTTTTGACGACCGATTCTAGATACCGATACCTATGTCCAAGTATCGCTGATCGCTGGTATCGAGAATCGACACATCCCACTTATCATAATTGTAAAACGATAAAACATGTCTTGTTTTGTGTATTTTAAGTGTTTTTATTGATGAAATTCCAGTAATCCAGCATTTTCAGTAATCCGGCAGTAACACGGTCCCATATCTGCCGGATTACTGAGAGGCTACTGTATTTCCATTTTGAATCCTCCTAACACTAAACATACAGCCTACCCATACAAATACTGCAGCCTATCTAGGATTTATAATCAGAAGTATTTGATCAAGTTACTTACCAGGTAATAGTTTAGGATGCCAGTTTTAGGGTCTAAGATAAACCATCTGAATTGCCATCCCTTCATAACATTAGTGTACTTGTACAACTGGCCCTCATATAGCTGACACATCATTTCAGCTGACATGCTATCAGACCTAAAACATAAAGCAAAAGCATAATACAATAACAACTGTAGTATACCTACTTGTATACATTTACTCTTAGAATATACCTAATCGTTTATTAGTGTTTTAAAAGATTATTTTTTACTTTTGCCATATAAGATATTCAAAATACATTTTGTACACTGATGCTTGGAAGTAGCATATCCTGGATACGAATTAATATATTTAATAGCAAATTTGTTGGTTATGTGGTGCAAGGTTGTATCAAGCACAAAGTTTGTATGAATAGGTAGTAAATATAACTTAGTCCAACTACAATGCTCTTCAGTGTTACTAAATTGCAGATTTTAGTTACTTTTGAGTTGTATAGCCTACTGATCTTTATTGTTTTAGGTAGGCAACATCTCGCCTGAAAATTTTCAGATTCTGAAATGGGAAAGATGTATGACACTTTTCACAAATTAGTAATGCCCTTAAGAGTATACCTATCAAATGAGAAAGCCTAACTGATGTGGCATGTGGTGAAATATGTAAAACTCTAAGCAAATTAGATTTGTTTGTGCAAATTCCAGGGTACCATTTGGAAATGGAGGGTGGACTATGGAAGTTGAGTTGATCAGACCTTGCTATGAGGAAGGTGTGCTGGGTATTTTTATGTAGGCCTAGTTAACATCTTGTATTGCATTCTTTAACAGTTTTGGTAAGAAATAGGCCACTTGTTGAGATAGGGCCCCAGAAAATCAAAGGTTAGGCGAGTATCAAAGGTTTAGGTCCTTCGGTCTAGTCATCTATCTATCTTTTCAATTCAGTTAAAAAATAAGTATTTAGTTTTGGATGAAATAAAAAATAATACCTGTAAGTAAATAAGTAGTGTAAGAACACAGTTTAAGCACAGGGACACTACCACTATTTTTTTCTTTCCAAATAAAACACTTTTAACCAATGAAAAAAAAGTTTTGTGGCCGGGCAAAATGTTTATCGTGTTTTAGTAGGCTAGGTACCGTAGCCAATTATTTTTTTATTTAGTATTGAGTATGAAACCTCTAATTCAGCACATTAGGCAGCGAATTTGGTAAATTACGCCAAATTTTGGTCATGTTCAAAACCATAGAGGAGTAACATTGGACTTGGTCTTCCACTCTGATAGTGAAGTGCAAGTTAGCAGGGCTAACGATTGGTTGATTGAACCTGAAATTCATCACCCTCCTCTGTCCCTTACTCTTGAGTGCTATATGCCTTCTACTTGTGACAACAGCTACAGCGGCTACAACTTGGGGAAATGTGACCTCCCAGCTGCTTTTATAGCCCTACAGGAAGCAGATATGGGATTTATTCACCAGCCGATCTCAACTGATGAAAAGTTTGATCTTTTGGAAAGTTCCTTAGAGAAAATCGTCAAAAATGCAAGTCCATTGAAGAAATTTGGTGTCTCACGCTTCCCTAGGTGGTTTAATGATGACCTAAAAAAATGCATTATTGAAAAGAAAGCTGCGCATGCACGTTTCAAGAGAAGTTTCAATCTTGTCCATTATTATGAATTCTCAAGGCTGAGAGATGCTTGTAGGTCGCTATCTCGTGAATGCCACATTCGATATTTGTCCAATGTTCAATCAAACATATCTTCTAATCCACGAGCTTTCTGGGGACTAGTTAAAGCTCAAAGAAATACTCCTGATATGCCGTCTAGTCTGCATTTGGATGACGAAGTCGCCAGTGACACAACAAGCATATGTCAGCTGTTCTCCAGTTATTTCAACTCGGTCTACTCTCCATCGTCACGAGTTTCACCTAGCTTTAACTATCCCGCCTTCGATTCTCTTTGTGTCATAACAACCTCAACTGAAGAAGTTCTCAGCAAGCTTAAGAATCTGGACACTACAAAGGGAGCTGGAATTGACAATATACCGCCATCTATGCTTCATCACTGCCGATCTCTCTTAGCTGAACCCCTCACAATGTTGTTCAACGAATCACTTAACAAAGGAATCTTCCCTAGCTCTTTAAAGTTGGGCTTCATCATTCCTTTACATAAAGCAAATGATCCCAGCGACATACGGAACTACCGTCCAATCACTATTCTGCCGGCAATTGGCAAAGTTTTTGAAAGTATCGTGGTAGATAGACTGAATCCTTTTCTATCCAAAATAATCCATCCTTCCCAACATGGTTTTATGAAAGGCAAGTCTACTGTCTCCAACCTCCTGCTCTTTCAAGAATATGTCTTGTCTGCCTTTCGCAAGAACTACCAAGTTGATACAGCCTACATCGATATGGCAAAAGCCTTCGACAAGGTCGACCACACAATTCTTGTGTCTAAGTTGCTGGGCTACGGAGTGGCTGAACCTCTTTTGTCATGGATTTCTAGTTATCTTCAAAAACGCTCTCTTGTCGTGAGGATTGGTTCTACCACTTCCACTCAGTTCTCACCTTCTTCAGGAGTTCCACAAGGTTCTTTGCTGGGACCTTGCCTCTTCAATGTTTTTGTCAATGACCTACTGGACAATTTAACTGTAAAGGCCTTACAATTTGCTGACGACCTGAAGATTTTCACTACTGTGTCTACACCAGAAGACTCTCAAGAAATTCAAAATAGCCTTTCTGAAATTGAGGATTGGTGTGTCAGGAATAACATGTCTGTAAATCCCAGTAAGTGCTCTTGTATAACCTATCACCGCATCAAATCCCCAGTCATGTACGTATACTCCATTTCTGGTACATCCATTCCACGGTCCCAGTGTATAAAAGACCTAGGCGTTATATTTGCCAACGACATGGGATTTTCTGGACATATAGATCACATCAGTAACAAAGCAAACAAGATGCTTGGTTTCATATCAAGATTCTCCAGAGGCATCGACAACCCTTCTGCTCTTCGCTCTCTGTATTGTTCCCTTGTGAGACAGCTCGTGGAATATGCAAGTCCCGTGTGGTCGCCTTACACTGTTGGCAGTAGGACGAGACTGGAGGCTCTACAAAGGCGTTTTCTTCGCTTGGTTGGTGTCCGGCTGGGTTTTGCCTATCTTGATGTGCCTGTGGAGGAACTGTCCAGCAATCTGAACTTGTCACCTCTTGCCCTGCGACGTGACGTGGCTGATGTTGTTCTTCTCTGGAAGATAGTGAATGGTCACATGAACTGTCCAGATCTCCTAGCTGAAATCGACCTCAGAGTTCCTACAATCACAAGATCTCGAGATCTGCTGGGTCGAAGATACCACTCAACCAACTTCGACTTCAACAGTCCATTCGCAAGGTTTATTCGCCTGGGAAATCGAGTTGCGTCTGAGTGTGACCTGTTCTTCGATGGACTTCACCAGGTTCGTCGGCAGGCCTCCTCTCTTCTTCTTTCTGGGAAAGACTAGTAGTTAATTATTGTTGTTTGTTAATCTTTATTTTCTGTTGTTGTTATGTTTGAGTAATTATTGTTGTTTGTAATCTTATTTTTTGTTTGTTGTTATGCTTTGGATATTTATGACCTGTTATATCTTTGAAAACTTATATTTATATTATCAAATTTTGTATACCTTTTTTTGTTGTATCGTATTCACCATCATGATTGTCTTTGTAAATTGGCTGCTGCCGTTGGAAATAAATAAATAAATAAATAAATAAATAAATAAATTACATCAAGCTGATGCCTCCAAAAGTAAAGTTGTAGCCATAGGGCATAGAGCATTTCATCATGTTATTAGCTAGTAGCCTTCCCAACACTGATTTTGTGCATTCATATACATTCAGTGGAGGATCTGACAATTTAAAAACATTTTAAACCAAAAAATCATACACAAACAAACCTCAATAGACCTACGAAGACCTCTACACAACAAACAATATCTGACCTCATTATAACAGAGTCAAACTTATAGTTTGATAAAAGCGTTGGTGTCTCAAGCTAATGTCTCTTTTAGTAGGCCTACCTACTGTCGTTGAGTCAGATTTGTTTACGTAAGTTACTTCAACTAGTAAAGAAAAAATGTTACAGCATTTTAAAGCAGGGTGGCTTAAATTTAGTTAGGTACAGGTTTGTCTTTAGGAAGTAGCGTAGGTATTTTAGGTATAAAAGTTGTTTCTATAAAACTTTAGAGTGAAATATTATGTACTGATATGACCACAATTTCTTGAACCAAAATATTTGAAGAAAATGTTTAATACCTACATACAAGAAATGTATGGTTCAATTTTTAAAGATTAATTTTATCTAGGTTTGATGGTTACCCCAAAGCAGAACCACGGGCAAGTGTGACCTTGTCGTAGAAAGACGGCGAGTGCTGTAGAAAGCCCAGCCCCCAAAAAAAATTTGAAATGAAAAATTAGGCTAGGCCTACTTATTTTCACAGGCAATGTTAGGGCTGCATGGTACTTTCTTAGACTTACCTGTACCGTATCAGTTTCTACAGAAAATGCTATGTAACAAATTTATAAAATTATTTTTGTTTGTTTTTCCAGGAAATATTTCTGTAGAAAGTCTATAATTTTATTTTCTGCAGAAAAATTCTCCGTTCTGCAAACAGTAACGCTACAAAACGTCATGCATTACGTAAACGAATGCTGCGACGTCAATTTCCTTGCATGAATCGTGAGTAACGCATAGAATAACCGAATTACTAAAGTGATTCAATGTACAGTAATAATAGTACCTAGGTATATTCAAACGGATACGAGCGTTTGAAAACTGATTTATTTCCAAATATTCATTAAAGCTACCTATCAAACCTCATGGTTCATTTCTTATACGCAACTTGGACCATGAAAGCACGCAGAAAATTTTTGGATATTTCCAAGTAGGCCTACGTTGCAGAAAGTTTAAAAACATTCTGCTTTGGGGATGGCTAAGTAAAGCTAACATATAGGCGTATATGTTACATGAAGGGTTTGCCAAAATCAGCCAACATTATCTTCCAAGTAGGCCTAACTTATTATTTATTTATATAGGCTACCTATTCTAAATCTTGAATAGGTAGAGTGTTTCTGATTCTGAAAGGCTAATAAGATGTTTCTATGACTCATTTTGAGAAAGAGGACATCACATGTGTTGATATGAATAACAAATAATTAAAGCCTATTTCATAACTCAACTGGTGGCTACAAATAGCCTTAACCATCATTGATTATTAATCAACATTCATGTTTCTGGCCCCTGAACTAACTTAGCCTATATTGTTACAACAATAATAGGTTTTTTACATACCTCCGTCAAATAGTTCAACGATTAATTGCTCATCAGCTTACATGTTTTGTTGCGAAGACAACATTTTCAAAGCTTGCAACTCGTCAAAAACACCATATCAGTATCATGATAGCGCTACTGTATCTAAATGTTTATTGTGTATTTCTTTCCATTTTAATGTTTTTATAGTGGTCGTGTCGTCTGTGTTATAAATGTGTTTTTGACGAGTTGCAAGCTTTGAAAATGTTGTCTTGAAACATGTAAGGTGATGAGCAATTAATTTTGGACTATTTGATGGAGGTATGTAAAAAACCTATTATTGTCATCATTATTAAGGTTGCTTGTGATACCATCGAGCAAAGTTGTTTAGAACAGTATGGTTCGGTTCATAGAGGACATGGTGCAAATTTATACCACAGCCCCTGTCAATAGCTTAGCTTAGTGAATTTTAGGAAAATAACACTTTTGATACCAATGATTTCGTCGCTACTTAGGGGGGGATAAATGTAATTAGTGTCCCCTGTGGCTATCTTACTCCGGTTTCAGCAATTTATCAAATATTTAAATAACTTCTTGATCAGCATTGTACATGTTATTAAATTTACGGAAAGTAAGTAAAAGAAACGTCTTATAACACTTAAAACATAGGCTATATTTACGCTTATACAGTTACTCACAAGACAGTAAATATATAAAAAAGATGGTAAGTGGTTATCGATTTCGATTGGACACTCCAATCATTATCAGACCCAATAGGCGAATGACAAGAATCTTGAATGGCGTCCCTACTTATACCCTATTGGCTACCGGAAGAAATCTTCTTAATTAACTTGAGGGATCTTCTTAGGTGTCCAGTTCTTTTCCTATTGGCTTGGCTAAGCCAAGCTATGTTGTCAGATATAGTGGTATCTTATAGGCTCGGTATAGCATGGATCTAAAGGCTGCGATCTTGTGGATTGTCGGATGGATAGACTTGCTGTTGATTGTAGTGTCCGTTTGCGTAGGTTTTCTGTAGATTTCGAACTCGATCTTGCTGTCTTTTCTCCCTAATGTGAGGTCCAGGAAGTTTGTTTTCTTCAAATTCGTTGGTAAAGGTGAGGTTCGAATGGTGGCTGTTTAGTGTCTGCATCATCGTTTCGTGCTCTTGCCCCTGGGCTTGTCTGAAGATAACAAGAATGTTGTCTACATATCTAACATAGCCTACAGTTTTACATCATGATTCTTTCTTAAAATCTTAAACATTTCTTTTTCCTGATGCTGTAAAAATATTTCTGACAAAATTGCCGAAAGTGGACTTCCCATAGCTAAACCATCTGTTTGTTCGTAAAATCTATTGTTAAATCTAAAATAATTTTGTTTCAAAACAGTCACAAGCAATTTTACAATCTGATTGACATATTCAAATTGTCTAAGCTATTCTGTAAAAGCCTACATTTAACAAGATCTACAGTGTCAGATACAGGTATGTTGGTGTACAGATTTGCGATAGACTATCAAATGAGACAAGCCTACTATCCAAATCTATATCTATGTTCATTACACGTTCAACAAATGCATGACTATTCTTTACATTGTTGGCTATATGTATTCTAATTCTAAATCATTGCTTAGCTTACTTGCTAATAATTTTGAAACATTGTAGGTAGGAGCACATTTAAAGTTAACTACCTAAGGGTCTGATGAGTACATTCTTCTTGTGTATTTTCGGGATCCCTTTCATCACGGGCGCTTTGGAATTTAGGATGTTCATCTTCTTCGTTAACCGCTTCAAAAACCACATGTCTGCGTGGAGAACAACAAACCGGAAAGATCAAATGTCGCACAACATCCGTTACAAAATGGCCACTCACTAGGAAAAATGGAGGATAGTCTAGATATTTTAAAGAATTGTAACAAAGAATATGTAATGAATGCTTGGGAAGAATTGTATATTTATAAGGAAAAATTTAAAAATAGAGATGAGTTGATTAATGAACAAGTAAATTTCGATTCCAGTTGTACTTATAAAAAATTATTGGCCAGTGTTTCCGGTAGCCAATAGGGTATAAGTAGGGACGCCATTCAAGATTCTTGTCATTCGCCTATTGGGTCTGATGATGATTGGAGTGTCCAATCAAAATCGATCACCACTTAACCATCTTTTTAATATATTAACCGTCATGTGAGTAACAGTATAAGCGTAAATATATGTTTAAAGTGTTATAAACGTTTCTTTTATTTACTTTCCATCAAATATTTTAAAGGGATTATAAGACATAAGTGTGTCCATAGTGTAAACCTACTGTTGATGTGATGAAAAACTTACATATTTAAAGATGATGACCTGGATTGAGAAACTTGACTAAGGTTACAGGTTTCCAAACCACATTGCTTCTTCTTTGCCTTCTTTTTTCTCCGACGTATCATATTCTTCATACTTTTTACTCCCTTTAGGACTCAACATCATCTAGAGTTTATTGGTTCTTGGTTGATCCACAAATGTATCAGGCCATGCCTATTTCCAAAACATATTGATTGATATTAGCATAGCCCAGAACTGTACAGAAACTGTACTCGAAGAAACTTCCAAACCACACTCTTATAATGTAAAATATCTAATAAACATGACTGCAATAGCTTTAGCTTAGAAGTCAAAATATAGTATTTATACCCAAATAAAATTGCTAATCTGTAAGTAAACCTCAGCCAGAGCTGATAACCTAGATTTAAATATTATAGACAATTACAGTATTACACTGCTTATTGCAAATCACTTTATAAGCAGATTGTACCTCTTTTACTACATTGCAGCTCCATTTAACTGGCGTTAAAAAAACTCAAACTATAAATTAATTTCAAAATTTACAATAGTAATATTAACTTGGATCTGTAACTTCAATGACATAGCAAAACGAATATTAGGTTATCATCATCAAATACCACCCATACCATACCAACCAAACGCCACCCCAATCATCACGTAAAAAAAGGTTAGTGGTTAAATCAAATCACGCAACATAGCCAACTGATTGTCTGTAAAACAAAAACTAACTCGCTGAAGTTGGCCCCATCATAATGAGCACAAATGATAAAAAATATTTTTAGTAAAAAAATATTTTAGTTTACTGTATGATGTATTGTTTACAAAATCCTGATGGTGGCACAGTTAAATAAAACACCCTGAATACTGTATAAATTTAATCTAAAAGCGACTATTTTCAACCGATTTTCTCAATGTGGTGGGGCGGATGACGTCATCACCGGGGGCAGTTTTTCCGCATTTACTCAGGTGGTTTTACATCACAAATTATAAAGACTATATATTGTTGTAGCACAAAATGAGCACTAAATCGTGACACCATTTTCAACCGATTTGCTCAATGTGGCGGGGCAGATAACGTCGATCACCAGCGGCAGTTTTTCCTCATTTACTCGTTTGTTTTTAGAGCACAAAATATAAAAACTATATATTGTTGTAGCACAAAATGAGCACAAAATTTCTATGTATAATACATTGTTAAACCCTTTGGTGGCGGGCTGAACGTGAAGTTAGCCCCGCCAACAGTTTTAAAATATTTTGGTGTGTTATTGTTGAGCACAAATTTTTTTATATATACTTTTGAGAAGCACAAATTCAACACTAAATTATGGATATGTTTTTATAATTTGTGCTCATTATGGTGGGGCCAACTTCACGCGAGTCAAAAACTATAATGATGATTGTCTTAAATCGTGGGGCCTGTCTCATAATAAACTTAACATCCTTATCCCACAGTAACTAACGAATTTTGTGTCATAAAGCATACCTGTTAGGTATACCCTAAGGGACGATTTTGCAAAATGATAGGCAATATTATATGACACCTTCACGTAAATGGAATGTCTACTTGCAGTATCCAAAGTCACTTGTATATTTTGATAAATTAAACGGAATGGATATTTGGAGAGGCCTATCTGAAGTCAATGGTGCATTAGCCTAAATCCCTCGACCTATCTGTTATTACTTATTCATTTTGTAGATTATCGTCAACGATCGGTAGTAATCCGATTGTTCTTCCCTTTTGTTCTGTACTGTATTGTGCTAGTTTAGACGATTCGTTGACTTACTTATGTTGAATCTTTCGTTTACGATTAATTGTTATCTAAACTTGCAAATATAATGTCATGGCACAACCAATAAACTACAAGGCTCATGTTAAATTTCCAAATTTAAATTCAAGTGGAGAAGTGCCCTATCTTCCGATTTGTACCATTTCAGATTTATACCTTCCCGTAGTTGGTTACTATGAGTGTGCTGAACTTTATGCGGATCGCTTCAACATTTCAGGAGGATTATTTGTAAAACAAAACTAGGAGTGTAGTATAAGAGCTTAGCTCGCTTCGCTCACTCCGTCCATTAAAATAATGAATTTAAATAACCTGAAAATTATCTCTTTCCTTCCTAGAAAGACACTTTCAACTATTAGGTAGGGGAATAAACGTTTAATAATTAAGTCATGTTAAGATGGAGGTGGAGGAAGTGGGTACTGTCACGGCCGCCTTTAAATCCAGGCCGTGGCCTTCGAAGTGGCAACATCGCAAGTGGCGTTGTAACAGCTGTTTTGTTTGGAAGCAGCTAATGGTATTTCAGTATTTACGAAAGATTGGTTACTGGGCTATGACAATATTGATTGTACAGATATAGATTTTTAATTCATATTGTTTCGGTTTTCAATTCTGTATGTTCTATTTTCAATATTTTGATAAATTTATGTTCATAAATTTAAATCAATTAAGTGCGAATTAATGAGCTGATGTCACCTGTCTGCCATGTTATCTTATGGGACGTCTGTCACTAAACAACACCACTTGTGACGTTGTCAATTCTACCAGGCCGCGGCCTGTAGTTAAAGGTGGCCGTGGTACTATTGTACTCGTTGCGATGGTTCTACAATAAACCATTGGTAGCTGCGATGGTTACATCAAGTGTTTCATGGTAAAAATTTAAGACAACCTACTACAGTAGAAAGTAAGTACAACAGCTGTCAGCTGTGATGTTATTGCATCAAAAATCTACCCAAATTGTAATTGTTTTGTTTTATTTGTTTGTTGTCCCTACTTTATCTATCTATGTCTTGTTGGTTGGTTGAGTATCTGTCAACAACGCTTAGGTTAAGTTTGTTATGTAAATTCATTTCAATATAAATACAATTATTGTTTGCAATATAACAAATTTCAAACCAGTGATGTATGGATTTTAATTTAAATCTTTATTGAAGTAATTGAGGAAGAAGCAATGAAGACAATAGAAGGAAAAGTCGTGGTTTTGGGATCTCAAGGTACTTAATTGTTTAGGGTTATGTAACTTAAAACAATGGAGTTATGCTAACAATTTGAGAGTTATTTTACAGATTATACGACTCTTAATTTATGTAAAAATGTTTGCTTGTATTACATGCTATTTCGCTGAATAGTTCATTATAAGACTACAATTTTAGATGATAAGTAGGAATCATACTTGATGTTTAAACCTCGGTTTTATTTATGTTATAAACTCTTCAAATTTTTAAGCTGTAAAAACAACAAACAATAATTCAGGCCTTGAATATGCCTTTGATTAGTGAAAGCCCACTGGTTCTACATGTTTACCAAAAGCAACATTTCTGTTTAGGGGCCTACAGCATAAGTTTAATTGAAAATAGCCTAACCTAGGCTAATTAAAATGTTCAAACTAAATGTTAAAAACCAAATCAAAGTTCACGAGTCATTGCAGGGTTGCCACCTTAGGTAAGGGAAAGATTGGGACCAAGGCAGCGATGTCGTGGGTTCGGGTCCTGGTTGCTGCTGCTACTTTTAATAAGTACAGTTCCCCTTTGCACTGTACCGGCTCGCCCCTTGCTTTGCTGAGTTACGTTACACACATTGGTCCATAGCCTATGTGGACGAGCAAATGCTAGGTTTAAAGAGGCCGCTAACCTCTTTGTTTTATATGAAATTGATGGTTAATCATTGCTGGCTAGGGTGTAGGTGCTGTATTCCGAGTAGTAATTAGTTGTCCCTGTCCCATACAGTATTTTTTGTAAAAATGTTTGTGTTAGTTTTTTGTCTGTAGGCTAGGCCTATATATTTTAAAGACTTTATGAAAACCTCCTAGGAGCAACAATTTCTTGTCTTTGGGCTTGACAAATAGGCCTACACCTCAAGAGTGTCGAAAACGGATGTCAATAAGGTGACTTACTTAGTTACTTGACTTATTTCCAAGGCTTATTACTTAAAAATTACATATTTCCTATAGCTTATATTTCCAACCAATTCATTTACATTTTTTTAGGTGTTGGCAAAACTAGCATGGTTGTTCGGTACATTGGGAAGATGTTCAGCCATCATATAAGTCCTACTATTGGGGCATCGTTCTTCACTTGTAAGATAAATATTGAAGACACAAGGATAAAATTACAGGTAAACAATCAATTAACCAAAAAATATTCCCCAAATTTATGGTCATAAGAAAATTAGTGTACAAATAAGCTAGTAGTGTACACTTGGATCTACTTAAACTAATATTGTGATAGATTTACATTTGGATAATAGTGGAGCTTAGTGTAATGTTTGGGACATTTAAACTTAAAAATATTTTATTCTGAATAAGTTAACATAAGAATAAGAATATTTTACTTCCATTGATCTGTTTAGTAATACTGTGCAAGTAAAATAATTTAACAATTTTCCAAGATTCAAGATTTATCGAGCTGTTCAGTGTTGTTTACAATAGTTAGTCACTAATACTAACAAAAAAGAGTTGCCATTCCTCTTGACTCACAAGCTTAAGTCCATCATAAAGCACACCATGCAAAATAAATAGGCCTAGATAAATAAAAAACTGTAAAACATGCGGAGGAAAAATGTAAAAATTTACAAAACAGGAAAAAAGCACAAAACTCAAAAACCACACTCATACCTGTAGGCAGGGATATATTTTATTAATCTCTTCTTTAAATTATTTTTTTTACTTTATTGAGTTATGATTTGTTATGAAAAACTCCTGCAAGGAATAAAATGGGTTTGCAACCAGCCTGGGTCTTAATACTAGGCTTAAACTACATAATGAAATGAAATACCAGGCTGATATGTACCAGGACAGGATATAGTATTGTCCTGTATATAAATTGACTACAGCAAAAATTAATTAAGGGCTCTTTCTTAAACAGTGGCACAATCTAGCCTGGTCAAATGCAGGATTAGTAGTTAATGTTTAGGCCTACTGTGTTGTAAAACTTATTGTACCTACTTTTAATTATTGTAGGCTACCTACTTCTAATTATTATACCTACTTTGTCACTGAAGCGTACAGGCTGTTATTGACAGTGTCAATGATTTGTCATGTTGATTTTTGTTTTTACAGGTTTGGGACACAGCCGGGCAAGAAAGGTTCCGATCCATGGCTCCAATGTATTATCGTAATGCCAATGCAGCCATTTTAGTTTTTGACATTACACATTACTACACGTTTACATCAATCAAATCCTGGGTCAAAGGTAAGCAGATTATAAAATGTGTGATGTAGGCTTAATTCTGTAATATGAAGTAGTCTAGGCCTAATAATTTTTTATTGTAAGTTTCACCTAATAAACAAATTAAAAATAGCCTAGTTTGAACGTTAATCCATTTTTGAGCAAATGTATTCACAACGTGAGTAAGTAGGTAGTTATTTTTAACATCTTGAAGCATCGACCAACTGTTAAACAATGCCAATCTACAAAATAATCGGCCCAACAAATATAAATTATTACAGACAAATTTCTCTACCATCGGCAATATAATAATTTAAAGAACATTTTTTGCAATCAATTAACTTCCTTCTTAGAAGTAAAAATACTATTCTAGAGGAGGACAAGGAAAGTCTGCTATTAATGCTGTTCTAAGATTTTTACCCGCATTTAAAGGGTGAGTATTTTGTAAGTGTTACTGGATTTAACAAAAGCATTTGACAGCGTAAATCATGAATTTCTACTTTTAGAACCACATAAAATTGGAATCAGGAACTATGATCTTAAATGCTTTAAAAACAGTTTATTAGGCATTTAAATTGCATACACAATTTGTTTCACCTCCTATATGGAGCAATCATCAGGCAGCACATGGAAGATTTGTCTAACCTACTCACAGTCAATTTTTAGGGAACACACACACACACACACACACATACAGACATGAAATATTTATGATAACAGATGACTCTAACCAAACGGAGTTAGTTAAGTGCAGACTCAGTTTCAATTCGCACTGAACTTATAAAAAACAATTAGTATTGCCTACACAAATAATACCACAAAAGAGATGTCAATTAAAACTGAGTCCAAAGACGAACATAATTAGATTAGGAGGTTTTAGGAATATGCTTTAGGATCTTTGCTTTTTTGTTGCACGGTATTCATAACATTTTTGTATCCTCTAAGTTTTACCCCATTAGCACAGCCAAATTAATTACCTTTCATTTTGATATTTATAACATTTACAATTTGTGTACTAATGAATAAAACTTCTTGACTATCTTAAAACAACAGTAGTGGCTACACTTAAAAAAATTTAAATCCAAAAGGACTGTCATAGTCTCCGGCTGGAGGGCGATACACAGAGATAATTGAAATATTGAAATCAATGAGTGTAACTCCGCAAAGTTCAATGTTCATTTCTGAGCAATAGACATTTAAATTAAGCAGTTCAAAATTTAATTCATTATGCAAGTAAAGAGATACACCACTATTCTTGTGTTGAGTTCTGAAAAAACCATTATCATACACTAAATTACCAATGGTTTTATAATAGTCTATTTCAACAGAATCTAGCCAATGTTCACTTATTCCTAGTACAGCAGGCATATGCTCACTTTCAAAGTTGGAGATCAAGTTGAACTTTGTTCTCATGCATTGGACATTCATGAGAACTATCCCAAGCTTAGGCCTATCTTCAGAATAACTATGGCAACTAACGTGTGGACTAGAGTACTGCTTATTACCTTCCGTTATTGCAGTGGTCTGTGATTGTTGGTTGGTCTCTTGAACAAAAAACGTTTCAGTGTAACGTACTTAGGCCACATCGAACCATCCTGAAGTTTGTCTCGATGTTCAAAACCAACTCCAAGTTTAAAGCTACAGTTTAGTAGTCCCTTGGTTTCTAGCTTTTCAACAATGCAATCTACATTAGGAAAAGAATCATGAATATATTTACTTACGTCTTCAGCCGTTGTACCAGCCTTAACCTTACTTAAGTGAAACCAGGCCTTTTTCTCGCCACTCAAGATTGCACTTTCCTTAGACTCACTAGTGCCAATGATGGGCCTAGATTGTCTAGCAGGATTAGATTTTCTTCCCTTAATCACAGCTTCCCTGTATGATTTGTTTTGTTCCTTGCCTGACTTCAGATGGGCATTCTTTGACCTCAGGCTAGGGCTAGGGACGTCGTGGTTATTTTCAATGCCAGAGGTATTTCCACGTCCTCGTTTATGGGCAGACACTTTCTGCCACTTATTAGTGTTCTCTTCGTGATTGTCGCCTTTGTTGCAATTTAGGTTAACAGCAGCTTCAAGATGTTGAGTTTCACTAACACTAACCAATGTGCACGAGATCTCTTTTCCACTAGTACTAGGTTGAGGTAGCTCGCCATTTTGATTTCCAGAGCCTTCTTCCTCTTCCTCTCCCTCATCACTGTTTTTGTTTCGATTTTCAGATTCAATAGTCGATTTCCCACTGACATCAGATTCGGTGTGTCCATTCGGTGTGTCTTCAGGACTCAAGACTTCTTCTTCCCCATTTTTTTCCAATCTTGTCAAAACTTCTGGCTGTCTGCATGTCACATTTTGCCTTAACCTAACTTCAGCTTCCTCAATAGCATTTAACCTAATATTAAGGGATTCATTATCCTTCGTCAATTCTTCCATAGTAATAATGAGTTTATTCATTAAAATATTTATGTTAATCAGTTCCTCTGTACTCAAGTCAAGTGTTCTTATCTTAGCTAACCTGGTTGTGCATCCATCACACATCCACATCACTGAATCTTCTAACTCACTTATCATACGATATTTCTTGTCTTCTAGGTTGATACATTTTGCGTGAAACCACTTTTTACAGAATCCCTCACACAACAACGCTTTAACCCGCTTTTTAACAAATTTATCACAGCTAGCACAGTTCTCGTCAACTTCATCCACCGCCATTTCAACCGGAAGTCTCTCTTAGTCTAGCAACACTAGCAACACTCTCTTAGCCTATGCTGTTAACTGTAGGCCTATGAGATATTAAGTTATCAAATATATGTTTTACATTTTTCAGAACTCCAAAGGAATGTGGACGAGCCATTGGTTCTGTGTATTGTAGGCAACAAAACAGACTTGGAACATCAACGTAAAGTAACAAAGGAAGAAGCCATGCAGTATTCTCAGTCTATTGGAGGAACGTACTTTGAGGTGTCAGCACTTAATGATCTAGGTATTGTGAAGTTCTTTTAAGTTGTAGATAAATAAGTTGGCCTACCAGAAATTGCTTAGTAGTAACGTCTTACTAAGGGTACATGGCAGGGAGCGAGCTGGTCTGGTGAGAGAGCGCAGGGCTTCAGAGTCTGAGGTCCTGGGTTCAAATCCCGCCAATCACCTATGGCTATCACCTTTATCTAAGTTATATAACGCCCTCTAGGACTAACCTAAAGTAATGTGTAAAACGGTTCTGGGCTATAGGGTCCTAGGATGTGAAGGTCGGACATAAAAAAAAGGGTGCAATGTGTACTTGAATGTTTTTAAGAATGTAAAGAAGTTCTAATTAGCTGACAAAGAGTGATGAAACCCAACAAGGTCGCTGATCAATGCATAACATGATTCTGAAGGAATAATGTTACTGTTTGTCTCAAATCAGCAGAACCTAAATATAGTAGACTTACAGTAACTTATTAACCATGTTCAACCTTTACTTTTATTTCTGACAATTTATGTAATCAACCATACAGGATAAGTGCCTAAGAACCAGAGAAAGCAATGGTTTATATATCTTCTACATTGTCAGAATCTGATGATGTTTCTTCCCTCTCTTTGCAATGTACACATAATCTCCTCATACTGTTAACTGCAATGACCACTTGTACTCAAGCTGGTACTACTAGTCTCTCTAGGCCTTAGGTCTCCTTCCCCTCGTATCTCTCCTTAGTACCTTCTTCAACAAGCTCTCTTCATTTCTCCTCAAGATATGGCCAACCTACCTTAGCCTTCTACTTTTGGCCTCTCCTACAATATCAGGGTCTCGGAATGATTTTTTTAACTCTTGGTTGTGGCGGATTCTACATACTCCACCTTCACACACTGGACCATATATAGCTCTTAGAACTTTAATCTCAAAGGCTATATTCTTCTTTTCCGTGTTTTTGCTCAGGATCCAATTTTCCCCTCCATATAAAAGTACTGGTCTAATTATTGTTTTGTAGATTCTAATTTTTGTTTTCCTCGATAACAGCTTTGAATTAATTAGTTTTCCACGTGCATACCAACTTTTATTTGCTACATTTACCCTTTTCTGAATTTATATGTCTTCTGTATTTATACCAAATAGTACAACACCTAGATATCTGAAATTATTAACTCTTTGGAATTTGTGGCTGTTAATTTTTAGAAGATTGTCATTATTTCCATCTTCTGCCCTTGCTACTCTCATAAATTTTGTTTTCCTCATATTAATATTGATTTTGATGTTCTTTTAGGAATAGAAGATGTGTTTCTTAACACTGCTATGGGTTTGATCAACCTCAGTAAAGACTCCTTAGTGACTAGCCTAAGGGTGTACGACTCCAATGATCGGCCTGAGCCTAACAGTGGTAGAGGTTACGGTACAACCACTATCTCAGCCCAAGACCACGTAGCTCATGCCGAGACAGCAAAGTCACCATTGTGTTGCTGAACCAAGCGAATCTCCTCTTCTTATCATTTGACATGCTGATTCGTTGGTCCGCTTATTCTAAGGTATTTCGTGAATTTTGACCAGACTTTCGGATAGAGAAATCTGTATTTATATACTATTCGGAGAAGTTGTTTGGTTGTTTGGTAGGAGAAACAAAAATGTCTGACTCTAATTGCCCCAATCTCTTCCATATTGAGTTTGACCAATTACAAAACTCAGTTTTGTGGTTTGAAAAGAAAATGGTCATAAAATAGAAGGCTAGAATTATCTACAATAATGTGATAAGTGCAATTATAATGTATAGTTTGGTTAGTTTTATTACTCATTAATTGTTCTCTTTCATACCTTGTGGATCAATTATTCAGATGGTGAAAATGAACGAAATCTTATTGTTACTGTGTAATCTCTGTGAGTCTGCAAGATCTTTGTTGAGTCGAGATCAAACCGATTTGTTCACACTTAGTCTACTAGCCATTCAATTAACCTTACAATTCAATATCTACATTGTTACTTTATTTATACTTTATCTGTGATTTTGTACATGGCGTTAGCTACACTGTTAGATTTGCTGTAGTGTTGAGAATTTTATATCATCTATTTTTATTTTTTTATGAATGATCTGACAATTTTACCCTCGGTAAGAAAGACTTAATTATCTTGAAATTGTGTTTGTCAAAGGATATATTACTAGGCCTATGTAGTTTATTGATTTTTTAAAGAGATTTATTTTTTTATGTGGTGAAATGTTTGGAGGTTTAATATTCTCGAAGAACCAAGAGTACCGGTACTTATAAGAATAAGCGCCTACTCTGTCAAAGCATTCTACTTAATCCTAGTTTTTTTGGTTTGCTTTAAAATAAATTGATTGCTATATTCTGTTTGTTTAAAGCATCACATGTGATGAAATATACATTGTTAATTGAACAAAACTATTTTATCAGGTTAAAAAAAAAACATTTTTTACTTAAAGTCATTCCTATCGCAGTACTTATAAGAATGTTTTATACTGTAAAGTTATGTGCCTTAGTTTAGTAATTTTCTAAAGTTTTATGGATGAAATCTTGATATTGAATATTATGTATTACAGTTAAAGATATTATTAACATTTTATGACAAGTAAAATAAGTGAATTTTGTTTGTAAATAAATAGCAATAGTGTATTTTGTATTTCATACTTAGCTGTAGATAATTTATTTACAGATTTTAATAGACAACATTTTAGATATTTTTTAAGCATGGCTTCGACTGTGACACTTAATATTACTATTGTTGAGCTGGTCTTAGGCACGTGTGGAACACATTTTTGTCGTACTTCATAAGCTGTGGCTGAGCATTATGTATATTTATTTGTCAATTTTAAAATTGCAAGCGTAGACACACTTGCAATGGCCTCAATCGAACACATGATATTGAATCAAAATTTTGTGAAGTCAATAATGGGTGTCCAGCCGACCTAAAATCGGGAAAATAGGAAATTGTATGTGAATTCTTATGACCTGCTACAAAAAGTCTGTGTTTATACAAACATTTTGTATCGGATGAGGAAAATTTAGATTTGGAATCATTTGCTATTGATAGCAGCCCATAATGTTGAGGTTTTAGTAAAAAAAAACGCAAGTTGCCAGGATCGTAAGAAATTATCTAATTTTTGCTGTGATTGCTAACGATTATCTCGGTTGTTGCCTCGATCATGAGATATCTTAAAAGTAGTTACCATAATCAATGGTGATAATCACAAATGTTGCCGAAATTGTGGGAAATTATCACGGATGTTGATTGTACAAGATGCTCTTAACGTTGCTTCTATTATGGCATTAAGACTTTTGAAAGTCAATTTTAAATTTAGAACTGATTCAAAACAAAGTAAATAACATTAATTTTATTATCATCATCGAATAAGATGGGGACGCCACCTAGGTGTGTATTTTTCATTAGCCAGGACCATTTATTAACACGTACGGCGATCGCAACCCTCACGCGGCCGGGTCATTACTGACCCAAAACCCGCACTGCAGTGCATCAATCTGCTGCTCAATGCGAGCCTAGCTTCGGTCGAAGCTATACCACGTTAGCGTGTAGTGTGTGACATGATGTTTGTTGTGGTGTAGGTTGGTAGTAAATTTTCCCGCAAAATCCCCTTTGGCAAGCTTAGGAATATACTTGTTGTATTGTCTTTCTCCCTCCAATTGGCAGTACAATGGGACCGGCTATGTTCTAAGCAGTGCTGCTATCTGTGGCTGTTTTAGCGAACTACGTTGACTTGTCGTAACGCAGTACATCACCACACATTATTTGCTATTCGTCAGACCGAAATTTGTAAGCCAATCGCCCGGCAATCGGGCTTGCTCGATGCTGTGCCGCACCCGGGATACGCCCGCCATTGATGGGCCGCAGCGAACGCGTTGAGCTTAGTGATCAAGGACAGCTGGGTTCAGTTTCAAACCATCATAAAACTTCACACTTTTCTTAGGATCGGATGATCTTTTGATTAAAACCACTGAGCTACCCAGCTAAGCATATACAGCTATATACAGTATGCATATATAGCTATATACAGTACGTATATACAGATTTATACCCAGATTTAGACTGTACGTTCTATATTGTGTTTAACAAAATTTGAACTTGGATTTGAGATTTTATATTCCTTTATTTTACCATGATTAATGTGAGTGATTACAGCAACTAACCTAACATTGAATTTCAAACTGGTTATATATAAGAATCTGGAAGTTTATGATAAGTAAGTTTGTAAAATGCAGAATAAGTTTTTATTTGGCCATCGGCACAGAAAACATACTACTATAACCCAGAATGCCAACCGCATGCATAGCAACGCTGGTGGCGCTGCCTACGAATTAACAGGCAAAGCTCTCTCAAAACACTTAATGCTTTTTACCATCCGGTTGGCATTCTGGGTTATAGTAGTATGTTTTTTGTGCCATCAGTCACTTCAATTTTCATGGACTTTTGCACCACCTAAGGTTGACTCATTTTAATTATGTATCATTGTTCACAATCATGCAGATCACAATAGTGTTAATATTGATTTTATGAAGTTATACTCTTTAGTCTTTTCACTGCTAATATCTGCAACTAGCCTACTTTAAAAACTAAGTAGTCTGCTACATCCATAATGTGATAAAACTTTACCTCTTTTGACTAAAGCTTAAGAATATCAAATGAATTTAATACCATTTAGAACATTTTATACAACCAGTAATAACCTTGTTTGAATAATATATAAAAACAGTAAGAAACATTCTAATAAAGTTGAACACTTTTTTTGTCTTAAAAGACTACATTTGATTTAGTTTATTACTTAAAAATATTGTAAAATCATAGATTTACATGGCAACTTCAACTAGGTGTGAGCAGTGCAAAACTTCATTTGGACCACTTTAGCTAAGATATGAGTGGTAATGACTATTGAATTGTGTTATTTCTGAACCGCCAAGCTTTAAATATTTTATAAACAAAGTGCCAAAAGACTCAAGTTAGCCAACAAATCAAATCAGGGCCATTTGTTGATAAAGTTGAATATTGTTACACCATCAGATCACAGTTTAAGTCTTTTTCTAAATAACATTGACTAGAATAATAAAATATACAAAGGCTGTCCATAAATTAAGGTATCCACCGCGTTCCCTTCAAATCTAAGCAATCTAGTTGAAATGAGGTCAAAGTCGTGTTTCTTGAAGTCCATAGCCAGTTAACAGAGGAGTTTGGAGGAGGTCTTTGACATTTGCACAACGTTTGAATCAGTGGTTGACATTAAGGGAATTCTGTGTGGTGTGAAAGAATGAGAAAGATTGTCAAACCAATAACACAGTATAAGACTATATGTCAGCCCTGGAAGTCTGGAACACACCGGTCAGCAAGTAAAGTTTCCTCAAATTTAATCACTGTATCGATGGAAACCGACAGTTGCTGTCAACTCCCTAATCCACTTTGCATTTTTTTTTTTTTAAACACTTTTCTGCATGTGCATATCTAAACGGGCAACCCGGCGACCGTAATCAACGAGGAAACCCCCACCAAATTCCTAGATATACTTTTCTTTAGAATGCTATTTTAAATTGATGTATTTTTGTAACTTTACTTGTTTCCCTCCACATGATATTTACAATATTCATGACAATGGATTTTTGATATTCCATTACTTGATTGTTTTGTGCCAATCTCGCAAACCTAGCGGACCAAACTGTTGTATTTATAAGTTTGATTTTACTCTTTTAGAGCAATGTATTTTTAAATATGACCTCACCTCTTTATAGATCTTGTTCTGTAAATATTTAAGTCACCAAAATATTTCAAACAGTGTTTTATATTGCAAAATGAATTAATTTAATTTGTGCCTTGAATGCTGCCTTGAAAAGTATTTTTTAGCTTTTGTAAGCATATTTCTTAGTAATCCTAAACCTACTTAAAATAAACTTTGTATAGCCTATGTGGTGTGGAAACTGAAAACGTACCTCTTGTCAGCTAAGTAAAAGTTTCAGTACGACCAATATAGGGGATGAAGATAAAAAAATATTGAAGCTCGAGTTTTTATCAACTTTTATAAGTTACCTAATTTATCATTGAACTTGCTGGTATTGGTTAAAATATTGAATTAAAGTTGTAAAAGGATGAAACAAATAATTTTTTTAGCCTCTGCACGGTCTGAGAAAAGGTACCTCTTGTTGCTCAATGTTATTTCGCCATAACGACAAGAGGTCTCTAACATTCACTTTATAAACAGGCTTAAGTCCAAAAAAAGAACATCCCTTCATTCTAGCGGAAATTTAGATAACCAAAATAAAGTTCAGTTTAAGGAGAGCAAAATATCTCACAAATGTTGCGGTCCCGTCCAGAGGTAGGTACCTTTTATTACGTTATGGAGAAAAAATATAGGGTTGATAAAAGGTATCTTTTCTAAAATTAAATTTTTCGACATGCTTCGATAAAACAATTATTTTCATGAAAACTATGGTGAGTTTAGACAAAAATTTGTATTGCCTTAAAAGTGGATATTACAAGCTTTCTTTCGATACCAAAACTGTTGCTTGAAATAGTAATAAAAAAGCAACGGTTTTTATGCGTATTTGAAATTTTCACATGACTTTTTCTCAAAATGACCCTTTTCCCTAACAAAATTTCAAAGTCCTATAACTTTAACAACAACAAAATCATAAATTCATGGGACTTGCACCAAGTGATTTGGAAGTTAATAAGGAATTAAAAATATACAAACTGAAAATACAAAATTACCTTTTCCCTTTCCACATAGTTTATTTTTAATATTGGCAGTTTACTTATTTCTTGTATTAGTTTATTCTTGTCCATACTTTAAGCTGCGTTGTTTGTGTCACACAAATGATTGTGTACACTAAAACAGAACTGTTGTATATTTGTGAATAGTTTTCTGAAATATTTCAATAAAAGTGTGACCAACCTAAAAATAGTAAGATAATACATATACTGCAATAAAAACATATTTACCCTATGACATATTATGTGTATGTTTGTTTTAGCTGTAGTGCAATACAATTTTACATAGATTCCAAATATTAGTTAAAATAGTATTATTTTAATTACGCTACTAATAATAACTAACCCTGAGGAATATTTTTTGGATAGATATTTTGTTCAGTTGCAAAAGTGTAGGCTACATTGTTATATACTTGGAAAACATGTCTTCCTCCTTTGTTAAATAGCAATAGTTAACCAAAAAGTGTTATTAACACTCTAATTTCAAACTTATTGTCTAACTGTGATACAAAAATAGTTCAAATGGTACAGTAAAGCTTGTAGTGTTTTTAAGCGATAATATTCGTCAAAACAAACAAACGTAATACGTTTAAGTAGTTTGGATACTGTAATTAAACTTGTAGTTTCACAGGAATAGTCCACCCTATATCAATAGCCTACTGTAGTAAGAATGACATTGAGTACCAATTCAACCACTCAATATAGGTTTCTTGAATCTTTAAATACTAGAAAAGCTTGTTTTTGTACAGTAGGCCTACACACCAGTCATTTCTATCGTTACTCTTTATTTTTGTTGTTAAAGAATACAATTTTAGCAGTGACTATCAGTATTAAACTGAATAAAATTAAAACCCCCTTGAATTGAGTCTTATTTGCCCTTTAAATTATCAAACCACTCTTTACAAATTCATTCTAAGTAGTTTTTAATTGTATTTTATACTTATCAAGGCCTATGGAATTTGAACATTTTGGACCATTCCAAACCCAGATTTTGATGAGAACAGTACAGTAGACTCCCTCTTATCCGGACTCCTCGGGACGGAGGACAGTCCGTATAACGGGTTTTCCGGTTAAATAGACGTCCCCAAAAACTTGTTAAAACGGCCCATTTTAAATGCATACTGTTTAAGCAAATACAGTATTTGACTTAAATTTAGGAGAGCATTTATTTATTTATTCATATCAACGGTCAAACCAATACATTGTACATAGACACGCATGCATTGTATTTAGACACGTGATCACTGGTCTCAAATCTTTCCCACGAGAACAGTCGTTTCGAGTAAAGCCCACTTCCTGCCGATCTAGTCGTTTAAACCGATGTGCTGATAAAAATTGTCCAGATAAAGCGATGTCATTTCCGCCAAGTGTAGTCCAGTTAAAAGGGAGTCTACTGTTGTTGCAGCAAATATGTGCAGACTAAGTGAATTCTCATTTACCTGATTGAATTTGTTCTCAGATATTTTCTAATAATATGTCTGATTTATTCACAATTAAAAATAACATTGCGTTCAACGAGTATTTGGGTTTGCTGCTGAAGAGAAGGAAGTGTTTTTTATTTAATGTAAATATTTGAAAATTTATGAAATATACAGGGTGCCCCTGAACTCTCTACTGACCTTTTTAGGTATTATTTCTGAATCAAAGACAAATTATTGTACGTCACGTACAAAATGTCCAAAACTCGAAAGGTGTGTACAGATGTCTTTTTTCCACAAATTTATTTTTTTATAAATGCATTTTGTAGTGAAATGAAATGTAGTGCATATATGAATACCTAACGCAAAGACCGATTTTGAGGAAACATTGTTTTATCATCAAGTGTTGTTTCAAAATGGCGGCCATAATCTATTTCTGTAACATAAAAACTACTTGGGGAAACAAAAATACTGTAGCAATGTTTTATTAGACAGTTTTATTACAATTCTAACGATATCAAGTTTAAGAAAATCGGTTCATAGATATAAGAGAGATTGCCTACTAATTTTTTTAAGATTCTGTGTACAAAACAATTTCTGTGGTCTATGGGTAAAGTCACTGTTTTTAGCTAAACAATCAGCAGTTTTAATTGTAGCCAATGAGCGCAAATATCAATGCATACAGTATCTTAAAATGAAGTTTTCTCCCTTATTTACGAACCGATTTTCTTAAATTTGTAACTGTACCATTAATCGTCAGAAAAGTGTACAGTATAAATAAAACTGCCACAGTAGCATTGTTTACGTCGTCGTTTTTATGTTATTTTTGTTTTAAGATTTTTAATATAGGCTACACAAGTTTGCAAATAGGCCTAGGCCTACACATGGAATGAAAATAATAATTTTTCTTTAAATTTGTCTTTGTGTTATTCATCTATGAACCAAATTTCAATTCACTACCGGTACATTCAAAAATCTGTTTTGAATTTATAAAAATAGTTTTGTGGAAGATTAAAATGGTGGCTGTACAGGTAGTTTTTGCAAATTGTTATAATTTTAGTTTAAACTGCTATTTTTAATGGGTGCTATTTTTTACTCGGTTGTCCATTTGATTCCGGTTTGCAGCATTGTTTATAGTTTCAACAAGACCTTTAATTTTGTGTACCGTAGCCTACATAATACATAACCTCCTATGATTACCTTCAAGATTTTCAACTTGCTCTCCTATTAATAGGCCGTCCCCCATTGGTAACATCCGATCACCATGTACTGTACACAAAAAGTAGCTTACTCTATTACCAGTATAGGCCCTAATGACGTACCAAATTTGGTTGTGATACATCTGTTCTTTTTAAAGTTATTAAGTCGACCTAAGGCTTAATTGTCACCCTATTTCATTGAGTAAAGATCAAATTTAAGCCTAGTAAAAAAATTGTAGTTTACGCAACGATTGCATAAAGAGAGTGTCTTACCTTTACCTTTGTCTTACTCTTAACACTATTTAGCGAGTTGTGTAGCCTACTACTTTACCTACGGCCGGTTTTTAATTACTAATAACCTAATAATCACTACCTACTCAAAACTTCTAAGAGAGGTTATGTTTTTGTTTATAACCTCTCATTGCCACTGACAGTGATGCAGCGACTCCGGACTCAATGTACCAATCACTAATTGCACCAATCGTTAAAAATTAAATTGGTTAACAGCTGATTAGTTCATTACAATAATTAATACTACTTCTTCTACCTCAATCCTTGAACCTCATTGGTCCGTTACCCGTGTAAAACCATGGTGTCAGGTCCAGGTGTCAACATGGACGTTCGTATTCGTAACAGTTCGTCTAACTACCGCTAGGTGTCTCTAGTTTTTACTTGCAGACTCTCGCTCTGATTTTGAAGAAGCTGGTACATGACCTCCCAAGAGCAAATTGAGGAGGATATTCCCAGAAGTTGAGGAAGAATATTCCTCTTCATCTTCTCGATAGGAACTAGAGGAATGTTCCTCTTTTTTTGGTAGAAGGTGCGGAGGAATAGTCCTCCTCATCTTCTGGGTATATACAATATTTTAAAAGTCGAGAGATGTAGGGCTAATACTCTGTCTCTGACCATAGATAAAAGGAGTAGACATATACTCCTTTTATCTATGCCCTGACGATCATTGGCTTATACACTCTCAATCATTCTCAAGCTCATGTGTAGCCCTCACTTATAAGTAGTATGTTTTCTGTGCTTAGGCTCAGGATGCGTTATTTTAGTTGACTTTCTTTTTCTGCAACAGCAACATATCCTTTAATTAATGTAAATTTGTGGCTCTTAGCTCTTACTCCATAACCGATCAACGCCATTTCCTGGATGATTATTTAAAAGCAGAGAGTCGTAACTTAGTAAGGAGGTGTACGATTATCGGCTTATAATACTAAAATTTATACTTAAATGCGGTATTTTTTACGAGGTCTTCGCTGGAGGAAGAACCCCCCATGTACAATTGGGCTATATTCGGAAACTTTGTATTTTATTTATTTTTTTAAGCTCTATTAGGAAGTTATTTCCTCATTTGAAATAGGTCTAACATTAATTTGTTACATGTTACTTTTGTTGTCCCAGTTTCCAATATGAAGGGGATTGTATATAGATCTATGAATGTATTAGACCTATAAGTATATATGTTGAATTATTTATAGAAGAAATAAGTTTTATGGTCTTCAGTAATTAAACATTATTTATGAATTGATTACTATTTAACAAATGTTAATATGGCTCTATAGGCCTACCCATTTAGAATGGCATAAAATTGAACTCTTTTCTTCCTATATTTTTATTATTTAATACTGAATGGGAATAACAAGTAACATAGTTACGATACTAATTCAATTAATATTTATTATGCGTTTATTTATTTTGTCCATAAATTTAGATAATACTACGGAATCGTGTAACTTAGTAAGGAGGTGTACGATTATTGACTTATAATCAAATTAAGGCTTAAGTGGGTTTTTACGAGACCTCTGGAGGATGAACCCCCCACCACCGCACCGGACCGGAAGCTTCCGCATTGTACGTGGCAAATAATTGTACAGTGGGACCTCGATAAGAAGACCCTCGATAACAAGGCACCCTTGATAGCAAGTGTCATTTTCATATCACCTTCAATTTATTTTACCCTTAATCACATGTTAAGCAAACCCCAAAAAGGAGTCAACCTTATGATAACAAGTCTTATTTAATAATCTCCATGCGAGTCTTCTTATCAATGTTCTACTGTAATCTGCCATTGTATATAGATCTATGTAAATATTATACCTCTTACTATATAAGTTGAATTATTTATACAATAAACTAGTAGAATATCCGCCCTTCATACGGGGTTGGCATATAAGTAAAAAATGCTTTTTGCAGTTACAGGTACTCAAGCTTTGCGTTTGCAAGGGGGAGGGCACAGTTTGATAAAATTTGCTTCTTTAAATTTACGGTATACTATAGTATTTACACATCTATCATAGCTATAATGTTCTACCACTTCACCTAAACAATAGATAAAAATAAATTATTAAAAGTTCGCAAAATATCACAAATTATTCATGAAATTAAAAACATAAACCTAACTGTATACAATCCTACCACGACAGTTCTCATTACGTATCACAGTTTTTTGTCACTGCTTAGTTCAAATGAGCTATTGTCATAAATGCAAAAAGATAATGGTGCTGCACTCTGTTGGTAAATATTATAATTTAATTCTTTTAATTTCTTTAGTCTATGGTAAAACTATGCTGTTATGTGAAACTTTTCAATTCCAAGAACTGGACTGAAACTGTAACGGTTACTTAAAAACGGTCGTATATAATATTAGTTTACGCAACGATAGCGTAAAGATAGTATTAACGACACGAGTACAAAATTTAAGGTCTACGATGAGTTTCGTTAACACTATTTTTACGCGAGTTGCGTAAACTACTTTACCTACGACAGTGTTTTAATTACTAAAACTTACTACTCATAAATTTCATAACTTCTTAGAGACTAGAGAGGTTATGTTTTCGTATATAACGTCTCCCTCTCATTACACTGACAGAGACAGATATGTAACGAAACATTGTACCAAACACTAATTAATTGCACTACTCACAATTAAATTGGCCTGAACAGCTGATTAGTTGAAGTTCGAATCATTACAATTTTACTTCTTCTCTCTCAATCGTCAATCCTTGAAACTCATTGGTCCGTTACCCGTGTTTTATGAGTTAAACTATCGAGGGCCTAAGTCTAATACCACGTATGAGGAAAATGCCTACTTTACAGGAGAGCAAAAAAACGTTGTAATTATTATGGTTTTACGAAAAACAGCTCATTACTTTAGAGGAATGTAGTTATTAAATTTGATAAAACAAACCACTTCTTGTGTTTATTTATTATTTACAAGAGTTATTGTAAAA